GTGTCCAAAACATGCAGCCGCAGATCAGATGAAATGACATTAAAGTCAATTATCGAGCTGCGGCCTTAGCGTGTCCTGGTGCCAAGTGCACATATTGCCACCCTTATGTTTTAACATGGTGTTTGTTATGGACAATCCTTGACGAGCACAGAAGTCCAATAACAAAACACCGCTCGGGTTCAGATTGTGTGTGTGTGGGGGGGCGGGGGCCTTGGAGAGGTCCCAACCACGCCTCTCCAGGTCTCACTGTCATTACCCACGTGAGCGCTGAAGTCCCCCAGCAGAACGAGGGAGTCCCCATTAAGGCTGCGTCACACTATAAGATTTTAAACCAGTCGGCCGATTTTCAAAGACTGAGAGAGCCCACACACGAGGATAAAAAATCATGGATATACCAGGTATAGTCCTACAGTGTGTGGTGTACAGCCACATCGCAAGAGACAACACACCACACACGAAAAGATATTTACTTCAGATTTTAAATCACGCGAGACTTTCTGAAATCTCGTGAGAATTCATATGTCCGAGAAAAAAATCTCACGTGACCTCCAGAGAGACGTGAGTTCAGAGTAAATAAACATTTGCAAGAAGGAAGAAACAATTTTGATCATTTGTGGAGTGTTTTTACCAGAGGAAAAACAATTCCATTGGACTTTTAACATCCAGCAGACTTTCTGGTGAGTTATGACAGTATTTTGTGTTCTGTATTTTGGAATCCCCTCAGTGTTTACGTCACCTCACTTTCTGATTGGCTACACGTCTCATTCAACAGACTATGAGGTTGGATGAACACTACACACACTGTGATATCGGGCCAAAAACGCAAACATGTTGAATATCCCCGATTTTAGGTCGGAGCGGTCTCGACGTACTTCCGAGCCGACTAGATCACTCTTAACTCACCACCCACGACAGGAATATGTGCTATGATTATCTTTAGAGCCATCACATCTGGACTTCCTTAAGATTGTCGGAAGGGCAAAAATTGGCCTGATTTTCTTGTAGTGTGACTCAGGCCTTAGGAGCGCTCTCCAGCACCCTCTCCAAGGACTCCAGAAAAGATGGGTAATCTGAACTGTTGTTAGGCACATAGGCACAAACAACAGTCAGGACCCGTCCCCCCACCAATAGGCAGAGGGAGGCTACCCTCTCGTTCACCGGGGTGAACCCCAATGTACAGGCATCAAGATGGGGGGCAATAAGTATGCCCACTTCTTCTTAGCGCCTCAGCATGGGCAACTCCAGAGTGGAAGAGTGTCCAACCCCTCTCGAGGAGACTGGTTCCAGAGCCAGAGCAGTGCGTTGAGGTGAGTCCGACTATATCTAGTCGGAACCTCTCAACCTCACACACCAGCTCAGGCTCCTTCCCCACCAGAGAGGTGACATTCCATGTCCCTAGAGCCAGCTTCTGTAGCCGAGGATCAGACCACCAAGGTGCTCGCCTTCGACCACTGCTCAGCACACATTGCACCCGACCCCTACGACCCCTCCCACAGGTGTTGAGCCCATGGGAAGGGGGACCCATGTTTCCTCTTGGGGCCGTGCCCGACCAGGCTCCATGGGAGAAAGCCCGGCCACCAGGCGCTTGCCAACGTGCCCCACCTCCAGGCCTGGCTCCAGAGTGGGGCCCCGGTGACCCGCGTCTGGGCAAGGGAACACTGAATCCATTTATAATATTCATCATTAGGGGTCTTTGGGCTGCACTTTGTCTGATCCCTCACATAGGACCTGTTTGCCTTGGGTGACCCTACTGGGGGCATGAAGCCCCCAACAACATAGCTCCTAGGATCATTGGGACACTCAAACCTCTCCACCACAATAAGGTGGCTGCCCAAGGAGAGGTAACAAAACTTTGTTCTGAAAAAGCTTTTTCTAGAGACAAACTTTATATTAGCTTTTAATAATCTGTCCTTGTCATGCAAATGATGCTGACACAACAGTTTCAATCTTTTAATACTCATTATAATAAAAGAAAAATCATTAATGTGATTTTCCTTTTTAAAAGTATTTCTCTTTCAAGTCTGTGTTATCATACTGTGTTCTGAAGATGATTTCTGAACTGTCATTAATTTTCACACCAGTGTTAGTTTAACTGACTGTTCTTTCTTTCTTTCCTTCTCCTGAGCAGAAGGAAAACAACAGCTTCATGTGACCACAACACCACTCTGTCCAGTAAACATATTTCTTCCAGAAAGAAATATTTTGTCTTTAGACAGAGACCTGTTTTTGTTTTGACTAAGACACACAGCTGAACATTGAGTGCCAAACTGGAATAAGCCAGTTTGAGTTAGTGCTGATTGTGTTGGAGCTGGAGGCTTCAGGACCTCAGGTCAGATTTATAAAGGATTGCGTGGAAACCATACTAAAAGTGATCATATGGCCAAAAGGCAAAAAAGGTGTACGCCAAAAAATTTCAGATTTATAAAATTGTGTGTACGCATGTTTTTGTGCACCTTTCCTTTATAGATCACAGCCGCACCTCAGAGTTTGTGCATAAGATCCCGCCTCAGGTTCTACCCTCTGCACGCTCACACTCAACCATAAACAGTCAATGCAAAGTACCTCATGAATGTTAAGGTGTATTTAAATCAGTCAGCTGATCAATGTCAAAAAAAGCGATTGGCCGACTCAGACACACACTCTGTTCTGCGTCTGGAGGATGACAGATGCTGACAACTGCTCACATGAACAGATTGTCTGTAATTGACACAGATTTTCCCTCATTTTGCAGGTTTACAGACGTTTAGTGCAATCTAATGATTTTTATCAAAAACTCAGCTTCAATTTAATTTTCTCTCAGAGCCTGCAGGACGATAAAAACAATAAATAAAATTAAATAAGTCAAATAAAGTTAGAAATAATTTGCTAATAACCACTCTTCTACCCCATCCTCCCCCTCCTGTTGTCTGCGGCTGTATCAAAACCAACATTGCGTGAAAGTCTGCGTAAATATAAGCACACTTTTCACCTGCCATGACAATGTGCGGCAGCCACGCCAAGTTTTTTCAGTCATCCTTCAGTCGACAGTTTTAACCCACAAAGTCACAAATCTGACTTGAATCCACAGAAATGTGACTCTGTTCTGTTTTCTGGACGTAGGAGCGTCTGAACACGGTGTTAGGGTTTTTTTTTAATTTAGTTTGAGTTTTTATTGTTTAAACTGGAACAATCATGAAACTGAACCCCGGGACTGAAAATCATTTAACCTCAGACAAGAAAATAGATCAGCCTAAAACTGATCAAAAGAACCTCAGTCCAGTCTGTAAACTGTAAAGTTTTTATATTTTTGTCACGTACTTGGAAACGCACGCGCCTGCGAGGCGGACACAGCTGAGGAGAATAAAATGTGTGTGAATTGTCTAAGAAACATTTAAATTCTCACTGAGAAAAAAAACTTCCTCAACACAGCAGATTAATTCAGAACAGCTCACTTATGATTCCTCAGCTCCACAAGATGCAGACAACAGATTTGTTCTACGTTCTACCAAACTCATAAGTTCCTCTGTGTTTAAAGCTATTTAATAAAGACGTGTAAAGGTGAAAATGTCTGTCATGCGCCGCTGAAGACAGCTTAACTCACGCACGAACACACACACCAACAACCACACACCTTTGAGTGTGGCAAACTAAATTTTACACCCCACTACTTATTTAGACAGTTTTCTCACTTATTCTGCATTTAATGTATAATTTTTCTGCATCTAAAAATCATTTCTGATCCTACAGAGAGGACAATCTGAGGAGAATCTCACATGCTGGACACATTTACATCTATTTTACATATTTAAATGGAGGCGTGTCAGGGGAGGTGTCTCAGGTGCGCTGTGTTCCATGTTCATTGGGATGCATAAAGGAAAGGTGCGCAGAAACCTGCCTGCGCAAGGTTTTATACATCAGTTTTTTTTTGTTTGTTTGTTGTTTTTTGTTTTGGTGCGGCACACTTTTCTAAATTCTTTTAGTGTGAAAACTGCACAATCCTTTATGCATGAGGCCCTGATTTGGCTGGACCTCAGAGTCCGGGAAGCAAGACTTCACCTCCAATGAGATGGAGGGAAGTCTCCAACTCTGGTGAGTTGATGAACTGTCACTAATTTAAGGCATTACATGTGAAATGTTCACAGAAAAACCTGGTTAAATAGCCGAGGCAACTTTGATGTTATCCTTCTGATTTGCAGTAAGATAAAAATTACTAATAAATAATCTGACCAAGACCTTAATACATTCTCTCCAAATTGACAATAACTTAAAAGTTATAACCAGGGTCTCTTGTCAATAAATTAATAGAGGAAAAATATTTAATTTAGGACAAATATATTTCCATTCTATAAAGGTATTCAAGTCTACAATAACACATTTTTAACAGTTTTATAAACCTTATTGCTTCATCTTTCATGTTGTTGTTTTTACTGCTTGTATTCATGAATGAATAATTGATTATTTCTATATTTTTGTAATAAATTACCATAAAAGACAAAGCTGGTTCCTCATCTTTGAGTATTTTGATCTGAGATAAAAATTCACTGCTACATCATACAATCTCACACTTTGATAAATATGAGTCTGATTAAAAAGGGTGAAAAAAATATTGGCCAATAAATTGACCTGGTGCCCTAACAGGTAAAAGTGTAGTGCAGGACAGAAAGAGTTAATTACCCTTTCTGTTTCTCTCCTAACAACTCACTACATCAGACTGTGTGTATGAAATACATTCTAATACATAAAGAGCTAAACCCCAGCCAGTCTGAATCTGAAGGAGGTTTCCACCTGTTTAAAGGAAGTTTTTCCTTTCCACTCTTTAATGTTCTGCTCAGGATGGAAGATTGTGATAAAATGAAGATTCAACACAATCTGCTGCTGCCTTAAATATGTAACTTTTCCCAATTATCATTTTATAATGTTTGTGATATACAGATACTTGAAATGACTTATGTTTTGAATTAGTGTGTAAAAATAAATCAAACTGAGTTGAATTTAACAGGAAGAAATGTAGATCAACTCACATCCATTGCAGACTCGTAGGCACACCAGTTCTGATCGTCTTCACCAACAATCAGTAACAGTGGACACTGGAGTCGTCCCATCTGATCAGAGACAAAACAAATTTTCACATTTCATAGTTGTTTGAGACGTTACACAGACATCGCTTCTTTCCTGGTATGACCCAAGCAGTTACCAACAAGTCTGATAAATAATTTGCTGTAAATGACTTTATTTTCCTTCCTAAATAAAACCCGTTATATTAATACCATATACAAAGCATTAAGCTGTGTATGGTGTTTTTAAATTTTCTAAACCCCTGAAGAGGACACAATACCATCATTCATATCAAAGTGTTCACATAATGCAGTTTATATTTCATGTTCAACCTGGTTATCTGTCAGTAATGGCACATGTATTCTCCAATGTTTAAAATATTAATTTGTAACAATGTTTATTTTCATAAAAACCTGTGCTATGGTCAGGTTAAGTGATTGGTTTAAGTGTAAAAACAGCATCTTGTACTTCTTGCAAAGGCCAAAAACATGACATCTTGCATTTGGAGATTTACAGAACATTCTGCACATTTAGGGATGATTTTAAAAGAATAAAAGAAAACAGGGACTCTATTCTGAAAGTGTGTCTTCACAGCTTCATCAAACTCAGTACACAACACAACTTGCTTCAGTGGCTAATTAGTCACATTGCAATCAGCTGTGAAAAGCACAGTTGAAGAGTGGGAGCCAAGGACATGAGTTTCCTAAAAGGCCAATCCAGGTAAGCTACAAGGATGAAAGCAATTGTGTTCCCGTTTTGTGTCCACGTTCCTAAGGGATTTGTTAGGACAGTGCAACAGAGTGCCCCAGTTGTGTTTTGAGTGAAGCGCAAAAGCTTACAGCACCTGGTATTCCCAGGCAGTCTCCCATCCAAGTACTAACCAGGCCCGACCCTGCTTGGCTTCCGAGATCAGACGAGATCGGGCATAGACAGGGCAGTATGGCCGTAAACGAGAAATGAAATTTACAAACAGAACTTTAAAAGAAAAAATGCATGATCTCATACTGTACATGTGTCTACAACTTGTATAAAGTTGAAAAAATGTCAATTGGAAGCCATTTTATAGGTTGTAGTCACATGTGGCAAACCCATGGCCCGTGGGCCAAATGTAAACCACCACAGCATTTTACGTGTCCCACAATAGAGCTTCAAAGATGTCTCTTAAAATATGTGGCCTTAAAGAGCAAATTTCTCCTCTGCTATTACACTGCAAAAATGTCCATCTAACCAAGTTTTAAAACCTTATATCCAGCCAAAAAGTCTTTTTGATCTTGTTTTCAGACTGATCTACTAAACAAGAACTGATTNTTTAGTAAATCAGTCTGAAAACAAGATCAAAAAGACTTTTTGGCTGGATATAAGATTTTAAAACTTGTAAGATGGACAGTTTTTCCAGTGTACGTATTCAATGAAGCATTACATAAGGGCGTTCTACCTCCAAAATTTTATCAGGAAAATATTTTCCTTATTCACAAAAATGACAAAGACCCCCCTAGACCATGCATGTTATAGATCTCTGAGTTAATGTAGACAACAAAAGGTTAGCAAAAATTTTAACCTCACATCTTGAAATAATCTTACCGACAATTATTTCACAAGACCAAACTAATAATAACTTAATAAGAATAGACTGTTATTATTATTTTTTTAAATATTAGAACACTACTTAATATAACCTATTCAAGGAACAAAGAGAATCTCTGAGATTTTCTTTCTTTAGATGCAGAAAAACCTTTGACGGGGTAAAATGGGATTACATCTTTTCCACCCTGTCAAAGTTTGGATTTAGCCCAGTGAGTTTGGTGCAGTGATGTATATGATGTCCTGTGTTGTTTGTTCTGTTTGTTCTTTTGTTATTGTGTACTTATTTTGTATCACAATGAAAAAAATCTTTAATAAAAAAATCATTAAACTCTCTTAAAAAGAAGGTTTTTAATCATTTCTTAAAACTCTCTTTAGTCTGGGGCATCCTCAGACGATTAGAGAGGATGTTCCACAGATGGGGTGCAGCAGCCCACGGTGTGCAGTTTTGTCTGGGGCAGGATAGAGCTTTTAGGAATTTTTAGAGCAGAGGGATGTTCATGGTGGGAAAAGCTTCACTCAAGTCCAGGAGAGTCAGTAGGGAGGGAGAACTAGCATGAGCCACCATCAGACCCTGTGACCCTGACCAGAGATGTTTCCATGCTGTGAGCTGAACGAAAGCTAGACTGGAATACCTCATTGATATTATTGACAGTGAGGTGGTCATGTAGACAAGCTGTCAATGTTTTCCAGTACTTTGAACAGAAATGGAAGGTTGGCAATAGGTCTAATTTACAAGGTGGTATGAATCAAGGGTGGGTTTCTTAAGAAGAGGTTTGATGATAGCTGTTTTCTAAATAAGGTGGAACAAAATGATTCTGGCAGAGAGAGGTTTATCACAGTTGTGATAAGAGGACCGATCAGAGCAATGTTTGTTTTCAGCAGAGCAGTGGGGAAAAGATCAAGGGCACAAGTGGAAGAATTCATTGGTTTGATAACAGCTGTCACTTCTTGCTGGTGTGAAGCATTGAAGAGGTTGTCAAAGCTTATGGCTGCTCATCTTAATAAAAGTGAGTATTTTCTTTCCGATGTCACCTATGCTGCTCAGAATGGATTGAGAAGTGAAGATCTGACACAATTAGCTGGTTTCATTAGATCGATAAATTGTACAGCGTGTGTGGATTTATTGTTTGTCAATCCACTGCGCAGTGTATGGAGGACCAAACCTATCATTATTGGAAATAAATGTATAAATATATAA